TGGGTTGCACATACAGACTTACTTTTAAAAAGCACAGCATGGAACATGAGGTAAAAGAGTAACTTTACAGTGGAGAAACCTGACAAGCACTACTTTAGCCAGGTGATAAAGATCAACATTAAATCATAAATCATTTGATAATATATGCTCTTGAAATTATATGATGATAATGGTACTTTACCTCTGTGATTTTTCTCCCCAGAACCCATAACCCCAGGGTAAACATGAGAAAAAACATCAGACAAATTCCAATAGGGGAGCATTTTATAATATATCTGACTGGTACTCCTCAAGCCTGTCTGGAACATCAAGTGGAAGGAAAAGTCTGAGAAACTGTCACAGCCAAGAAAGCCTAAGGAGACATGACAACAATGTAATCAGGTACCCTGGATGGGATCCTGAAATGAAAAAAGGATATTTAGGTAAAAATAATGATAGGGGTGCCTGAGTGTCTCAGTTGGTTAAGCATCTGCCTTTGGCTCAGGTCATGATCACAGGCTTCTTAGATAGAGCCCTGCACTGGGCTCCTTGCTCAGCAGGGAGTCTGCTTCTCCCTCAGCCCTCTCCCCCTGGCTATGCTCTCTTCCTCTCTCTCTGTCAAATAAGTAAATAAAATCTTTAAAAGGCAACAACAGCAAAAACCCCAGAAAAAACCCTAAGGAATTATGAATTCAATCTATAAATTATGGACTTTACTTAATAATGGGTCAATACTGGTTTGTTAATTGTAACAAATGTAATATATTAATAACAGGGGAAACTATGGAAAAATATATAGAATTCTCTGTATTATTTTTCTCAATTTTCTTCTAATCTAAGACTGCCTAAAAAAATGAAAATGCGATGAAAACATTCCCAGAAAAGCAAAGATGGAAATAATTTGCTTCTTATAGACCTGTCTTACAAGAAATATAAAGAAGTCCTTCAGGCTGAGAGGAAATGATACTAGAGGATAGCTCAAATTCTCACAAAAAATATAGAACAATAATATATGTAGGTAAATATAAAAGAAAGTAAAAATATTTTTCCTCTCAACTGATTAAAAAGTCACATAAAATAATAATTATGAAACTATATTGTTGAGCTTATGGTACCAAAAAAATGTAATATATATGACAAAAGAAGGAAAGAGAATGGAGCTATTAAAGCAAAAATTCTATATTTTGCTGGTTAATTAGTACTAATCTTAAGCAGATTGTGATAATTTTTGATGTATACTGTGATCCCTTAGAGCAGCTACTAAGGAAATCACTCCAAAAATACAGGGAAAAAATGGAATTGAAATGGTACACTAGAAAATATTTGTTTAGCCACCTGGTGGCTCAGTGGTTGAGTACCTACCTTTGGCTTAGGTTGTGATCTCAGGGTCCTGGGATCGAATCCTGCATCAGGCTTCTCTCTCTGCCTATGTATCTGCCTATCTCTGTGTGTCTCTCATAAATAAATAAAAATAAAAATCTTGGGCAGCCGAGGTGGCTCAGCGGTTTAGCGCCACCTTCAGCCCAGGGTGTGATCCTGGAGATCAAGGCCCACATCAGGCTCCCTACATGGAGCCTGCTTCTCCCTCTGCCTGTGTCTCTGCCTCTCTCTCTCTCTCTCTGTGCCTCTCATGAATAAATAAATAAAATCTTGAAAAATAGATAAAAATCTTTTTAAAAAGGTGTTATAATGTTTTTAAAAGTTGTTTAACACAGAAGGTAGTAAAAGAAGAACAGGGGAACAAAAAAGATGAAACATGAAAAACAGTAACATGGCATGTATAAATCCAACATATCAATAATTACATTAAATATGAATGAATTAAACATTCCAATCATAAATCAAAGATTACCAATTTTATGTGTGTTTTCTGTATGTATGTATGTATAGATAGATGATAGATGATAGATAGATAGATAGATAGATAGATAGATGATAGATACATATAAAAGCTGACAAGATCCAACTATAAGCAACACATTTTGGATTCAACCTAGTAAACAGTAACCACAGGGGAGCTGGAGAGAATATGCTAATATACTAACACCAAGCAAAATAGACTTCAGGGTAAAAAATGGTTCTAGGCACAGAAATGGACCCTCAACTCTATGGTCAACTCGTCTTCAACAAAGCAGGAACCACAGTGAGATATCATTTACACCAGTGAGAATGGCCAAAATTAACAAGACAGGAAACAACAAATGTTGGAGAGGATGCGGAGAAGGAGGAACCCTCTTACACTATTGGTGGGAATGCAAGCTGGTGCAGCCACTCTGGAAAACAGTGTGGGAGTTCATCAAGAAGTTGAAAATAGAGCTACCCTTCAACCCAGCAATTGCACTACTGGCTATTTACCCCAAAGATACAAATGTAGTGATCTGAAGGGGTACCTGCACCCCAATGTTCATAGCAGCAATGTCCACAGTAGCCAAACTGTGGAAGGAACCATGATGTCTTTCGACAGATGAATGGATAAAGAATATGTGGTGTATATACACAATGGAATATTACTCAGCCATCAGAAAGCATGACTACCTACCATTTACATTGACATGGATGGAACTAGAGGTTATTATGCTGACTGAAATAAGTCAGTTGGAGAAAGACAATTATCATATTGTTTCACTCATGTGGAATATAAGAAATAATGAAAGGGACCATAGGGAAGTGGGGGAAACTGAGTGGGGAAAAATGAGAGAGGAAGACAAACCATGAAAGATTCCTAACTTTGGGAAACAAACAAAGGGTTGCAGAAGGGGAGGTGAATGGGGGAATAGGGTAACTGGGTGACAGGCATGAAGGAAGGCACATGATTAGATGAACACTGGGTGTTATACTATAAGTTGGCAAACTGAATTTAAATAAAATGTTTAAAAAATGGTTCTAGAGACAATGAGGGACATTTTATAATAAGAAGCTCAGTTCATCAGGAAGCTATCACAATTATAAACATATATGCACCTAATAACAGAGCCTTAAAATACAGAATTAAAGGGAGAAATAAACTCAATAGTTGGAAAGTTCAACATCCCACTGTCAGTAATAGATAGAACAACTAGATAGAAAATCAGTAAGGATATATATGGAAGACTAAAACAAGAATATAAATCAACTACATATTTATATAATTTATATATAATTTATAACTATATAATGTTCCATGTGTGCTTGAAAAGAATCTATATTTGGCTGCTGTTGGTTTTTTTTTTTAAGATTTTATTTATTTGACAGCTTGAGAGAGAGAGAATGAGCAATAGTGCACACACAAACACAAGCAGGGGGATCAGCAGGCAGAGGATAAGGGAGAAGCAGGTTCTCTGCTGAGCAGGTAGCCCATTACGGGGCTCAATCTCAGGATCCTAGGATCATGACCCAAGCCAGAGGTAGATGCTTAACAGACTGAGCCACCCAGGCTCAGTGAAACGTGAAAAATCACGTTTCTGATAAAGAATTTGTATCTAGAATACATAAAGGACTCTTAAAATTCAATAATTAAAATGAATATTTGAATAATCATTTTATCAAAATAAATATAAGAATGGCTAATAAGCACCTGAAAAAATGCACATCATTAATCTTCAGGAAAATACCATTTAAAACCACAGTGGGTTAGCACTTCACACATCTTAGAAAGGTTACTTTTTGAAAAAGATTATAACAAGTGTGTCATTGAGGATGTGGAGAAACTGGAACCTTAATACATTGTTGAAGGGAATGTAAAATGGCGCTGTCACTTGGGCAATAAGTTAACAATTTCTTTAAAAGTTAAGCATAGGGGATCCCTGGGTGGCGCAGCGGTTTGGCGCCTGCCTTTGGCCCAGGGCGCGATCCTGGAGATCCCGGATCGAATCCCACATCGGGCTCCCAGTGCATGGAGCCTGCTTCTCCCTCTGCCTGTGTCTCTGCCTCTCTCTCTTTCTCTCTCTGTGACTATCATAAATAAATAAAAATTAAAAAAAAAAAAAAAGTTAAGCATAGGGATCCCTGGGTGGCGCAGCAGTTTAGTGCCTGCCTTTAGCGCAGGGCGTGATCCTGGAGACCCGGGATCGAATCCCACGTCAGGCTCCCGGTGCATGGAGCCTGCTTCTCCCTCTGCCTGTGTCTCTGCCTCTCTCTCTCTCTGTGTGTGACTATCATAAATAAAAAATAAAATTAAAAATTAAAAAAAAGTTAAGCATAAATTTACCAGCAATTGATAAATGACCCAGAAATTCTACTCTGTGGGTAGAAATTCTACTCTACCCAAAAGAAATGAAAACATATGTCCTACAGACTTATACACTTGTGTTCATGGCAGCATTATTCATAAATTCAAACGTAGAAACATTCCAAATGTCCATGAACTGATGAGTAGGTAAACAAAATGTGGTATACGCAAACAGTGATATACAACTGGTAATAGAAAGGAAGAAACTGCTAATACATCCTATAATATGGCCAAATCTCAAAACCATTATGTTAAATAAAAGAAGTCAGATATAAAAAATTGCATATAATATGATTTGATCTTATGGAACATGCAGAAAAGGCAAACCTATTGAAAGAGAAAATAGATTAGTGCATGTCTGGGCCTGGGGTGGGAATGAGGATTGACTGCATATAGGCTTGAGGGATCTTTTTGAGATGAAGGAAATGTTTTAAAATTGAATTGTGGTAAAAAAAAAAAATTGAATTGTGGTGATTGTTACACAGCTCTAAATTTACTAAAAGTCACTGAATTGGGGATCCCTGGGTGGCGCAGCGGTTTAGCGCCTGCCTTTGGCCCAGGGCGTGATCCTGGAGACCCAGGATCGAATCCCACGTCGGGCTCCCGGTGCATGGAGCCTGCTTCTCCCTCTGCCTGTGTCTCTGCCTCTCTCTCTCTCTCTGTGTGTGACTATCATAAGTAAATAAAAATTTAAAAAAAGTCACTGAATTGTATACTTAGCATATATGAGTTTTATGGTATGTAAATTGTAAGTTAATAAAGACGTTTTTTAGAAAAAGTCAAATCTGTTTCCAATGTCTTAAAGCACCCTTACTTGTTCTTTTCTTTTGTCTCTTCCTTTCTTCAAACAAAGATACACTAATTCTACTCAGTATCTTGACATTGCTCTCAATAGCTTTGAACGTTTCTGGTAAAAACTCCATTTGTGCAATCCAGTGGTGGTGTTCCTCAATATCCATTGCAGTTATCTCAGACAAAATGAGATCTTGAAGAGAGTAAAAAAAAAATTACTTTTGTGCACAAAAATAACTATAACCATGTAGGCTTATAATATTGCCTAATTACTCTATATTGTAGTAAATGTAGGTATCACATTTAGTGCTATTCTGAGGCATTTCTTTATGAAAAAATGAAAAAGAGATTTGGAATAGAAAGCTGAACAGTAAATCATTGAAATACTTTGGTATCTAAAATGTGAGCATGTATTTTAATATTGAGAAACTAAACCCCAATTAACTCCTTTCATAAGCTATTTAGTATTTTTAAACCCTCATTACATGAGATTTCTTGCAACTTAATGACATTCCTCTTTTTGTATTCTGAGCTTATTCATTCTTTCATTCAACCAATGTCTCCTTAGTCATGTATTATTCTAGATGCTGAGGATATAGCACTGAATAAAGCAAATTTCCTGACTTCATACTGCTTGCATTCTAGTGAAAGGAGACAGACGAAAAAGTCAAAATAAAAACATTAGTTATATAGTATTTCAGATGTAACAAATGCTATAGAAAAAAATAAAGAATAAAAGAGTAATGGACAGTGCCAAGGAGTAGGGAACGCAGACAGTCAGAGAACACATCATTTCAAAGCAAGATATGAACAGAGAATGAGCCACATGGCTACTTGTGGACAATGTTCCAGGCAAAGGAATAGTAAGCATAAAGACACTGGGCAAGGGTATGCTGGCATGCTTCAAGAAAAGCAAGGAGCGCAGAATAGCTGGCACTAAATGAGCAAAGGCACTAAATATTTTTCTTATTTTATTTTTACTGAAACAGTGGATAACTATTCTCTCAATAACCTCCTTAGTTGTCTTTAGTTTGATTTACCCTTTAAAATTTACTTATAGATCCTGTTCTTTAGCTTTTTCATTACTTAGTGGTTTTCCTTTGAACCACCTTTGAAAACTTACTCCATTCTTCCAACCAGGCCAGGATATACACAAGAATCTTTTCTCTAATTTCAGCATTCTTAGCATAAGTAACTATTTTCTCCAGGAAATATATTCTCCGTTTCTTATGTTCTATAAGGGAGATTTTTTTTCCAGAGTGCACATTCTCATCAAGAGTATAGCGATTTATTATCCGCTGCACATTGAGCAGTATGTCATTCAGCTGCATATTAATGTCCTATAAAAGTAAGAATGAGGATATATTAATACTCAGTTTTTTGATATAATTGAACATCTGTTAATAAAACCTCTCAACAAAATGGGTTTGGAGGGAACATAGTAAAGGCTATATATGAAAAATCCGCAGCCAACATTATACTCAATAGTAAAAAACTGAGAGCTTTTCCTCCGAGATCAGAAATAAGACAAAGATGTCCACTCTAACCACTTTTATTCAACATAGTACTGGCAGTGCTAGCTATAACAATCAGACAAGAAAAAGAAATGAGGTAAGGAAGAAATTAGACTGTCACTATTTACAGATAGTATATATAGAAAACCTTAAAGACTCCACCAAAAAAAACTATTAGAAGCAATAAATGAATTGAGCAAAGTTGCAGGATACAAAATTAATACCCAGAAAATAGTAGCATTTCTATAGAATAATAATAATAAAGCAGAGAGATTAAGAAAGCAGTCTCACAATTGCACCAAAAAAAAAAAAAAACTATGAATAAAATTAACCAAAGAGGTGGAAGACCTGTACTCTAAAAGCTTTAAAAGATCCATGAAATAGGGATCCCTGGGTGGCGCAGCGGTTTGGCGCCTGCCTTTGGCCCAGGGCACGATCCTGGAGACCCGGGATCGAGTCCCATATCGGGCTCCCGGTGCATGGAGCCTGCTTCTCCCTCTGCCTGTGTCTCTGCCTCTCTCTCTCTCTGTGTGTGTGTGACTATCATAAATAAATAAAAAAATTAAAAAAAAAAAAAAAAAAAAGATCCATGAAATAAACTGATGGCACAAACAAATGGAAAGATATTCTATATTCATGTATTCATGTATTGGAAGAATTAATATTATTAAAATGTTCATACTACACAAGCAATCTATAGATTCAATTTAATCCACATCAAAATATGAACGGCATTTTTCACAGGACCAGAACAAATACTAAATTTTATATGCAACCACAAAAGACCCTACATACCCAAAACAATCTTAAGAAAGAAACAAAGCAGGGGGTAAATTTTATTTTATTTTATTTTATTTTTTATTGGAGTTCAATTTGCCAACATATAGCATAATACCCAGTGCTCATCCCACCAAGCGCCCCCCTCAGTGCCTGTCACCCAGTCACCCCCACCCCCTGCCCACCTCCCTTTCCACCACCCCTTGTTCGTTTCCCAGTTAGGAGTCTCTCATGTTCTGTCTCCCTTTCTGATATTTCCCACTGGTTTTTTCTCCTTTCCCCTTTATTCCCCTCTCACTATTTTTATATTCCTCAAATGAACGAGACCATATAATGTTTGTCCTTCTCTGATTGACTTATTTCACTCAGCATAATACCCTCCAGTTCCATCCACGTCGAAGCAAATGGTGGATATTTGTCGTTTCTAATGGCTGAGTAATATTCCATTGTATACATAAACCACATCTTCTTTATCCATTCATCTTTCGATGGACACCGAGGCTCCTTCCACAGTGTGGCTATTGTGGACATTGCTGCTAGAAAGAAACATCGGGGTGCAGGTGTCCCGGCGTTTCACGGCGTCTGTATCTTTGGGGTAAATCCCCAGCAGTGCGATTGCTGGGTCGTAGGGCAGGTCTATTTTTAACTCTTTGAGGAACCTCCACACAGTTTTCCAGAGTGGCTGCACCAGTTCACATTCCCACCAACAGTGCAAGGGTTCCACATCCTCTCCAACATTTGTTGTTTCCTGCCTTGTTAATTTTCAGGGGGTAAATTTTAGATTGTAAGTTATGCTATAAGGCTGGAGTAATCAAAATGGCATGGTGCTGGAACAAAAATATACACACGGGTCAATGGAACAGTACAGAGAGTCCAGAAATAAACTCACAAATATATGGTCAGTTACCTTTGACAAAGTGGAAAAGAATAGGCAACGAGAAAGACAGTCTCTACAACAAATGGTGTTAGGAAAACTGGACAGCTACATACAAAAGAATGATCCTAGACTACTTTCTTACACCATACACAAAAATAAACTCAAAGTGGATTAAAGACCTAAATGTGAGGCCTGAAACCATAAATATTTTAGAAGAGAGAACAAGCAATAATTTCTCTGACATTAGCTGTAGCAACATTTTTTCTAGATATATCTCCTGAAGCAAATAAGCAAAAGGAAGTTGCTTTTTTTTTTCTTTACCCAGACCTCACACTTGGAAAGCACGTATCAGATATTTCTCAACATAACTTTTATTTCATTAACTTACCTTTTCAAGAATCTATCAGCAAATTTCTTTTGCTTATCACTTTATACCACTATTCTCAATAGGAGTAAATTACTGCCTCATATATGGCATTTGGAAATTCGTAGATTCATTTTTGGTTGTAACAATAATTGGGAGGAAGGGTTTATTGGTATTCAGTGAAAGGTGGGCACCTGGGTGGCTTGGTCTGTTAAGCATCTGCCTTTGCCTCAGATCATGATCACGGGGTCCTGGGATGGAGCCCCACATCAGACTCTCTGCTCAGTGGGGAGCCTGCTACTTCCTCTCATCCTGCTCCTTGGCTTGAGCTCTCTCTCTATCTCAAATGAATAAATAAAAATCTTTTAAAAAAGAATGCTAGCTCATTTTACAGAGCAATAAAAAGTCCACACAATGAAGAACTGGCCCAATCTTGCATAAATTTGATTATCCTGTGAGACATTCATATAGGTTTTTTTTAAAAATCTGTTTATACTTATCTGAGCCTAGAAATTTACTCTTTTAAAAGGAAAAAATTTACTCTTTTATATCTAAAAATATAAACACAAAGTATTTTTTACTTAGTTTAATTATATACTGAAATTTCCAGGAATGCAAATATATGTAAATCAAAAGAAAAATATTCTTTAGGGATGCCTTGGTGGCTCAGCAGTTGAGCGCCTGCCTTCAGCTCAGGGTGTGGTCCTGGAGTCCCAGGATCGAGTCCCACACTGGGCTCCCCTTGAGGAGCCTGCTTCTCCCTCTGCCTGTGTCTCTGTGTCTCATGAATAAATAAAATCTTAAAAAAAAAAAGATTTAGAAAATAACAAAGAAAAATATTATTTAGAATTTCTCCAACAAAATTTACCATTCTGAAACACCATAGTACCACAGTAATTCACTAACATTAATAGTATGTAGTGTCAACACAATAAACCTGCATTTGTATCAACCCATATTTGTAGCTTTCACTTTATTTTAATTCTACATATAGGTGCAAGCCTCTGTCTACCTCTTTATTATGTCTTCTAGTGAAATTTGACCTAGAATTTACACAATTACTTTCCTTTATTTACCTTCACACTTATATTATTTAAAGTATAAGTATAGGTATTTTATCTGTTAATTTCACCTCAGGAATGAAAGGATATTAAAATATTTTAAAAGGGCACAATGAATCTGAGAGATGATGAAACACCACTCCACCTTTTCCAACATTATTAATTACTCTTTAAATTTGGTTACAGAGAAACTGAACTCCTTCCACACTCTTTACAGTAAAAGTCAGATTTGGATTTTGCACACCAAATCATCATGGAAAAGAAGTAACCAGATATTAGGTGCTGGAAATATTGCAATTAGAAACAGAGATGATGCAAAAGAAAGAAAGGAAGGGAAGGAGGGAGAGACGGAGGGAGGGGTGGAGAAAGAAAGGGAGGAAGAAGGAAGGATAAGATGCCGCAAATAATTTGTCAGGAACACAGGAGAGTGGAGACAAAGTTGAATAAGCCAAGTGATGTAAAATAACACTACAAGCTAACCCATAGCATAGTGATGAAGAAAAAATACCAAATCTTTATAAATTCTTACAGAAAACTAAAGAGGCAATAGCACTTTCTAACTCATTTTTTGAGGCCCTGATACCAAGGCCAGGTAAAGAAAAGAAAGAGAGATAAGGAAAGAAAGAAAGAGGGGGGAAGGAAGGAGGAAGAAAACTATAGACCAACATCCCTGATGAATATTGATGCAAAAATCCCCAACAGTCAGTGTGTGAGGCAGGGTTTATATGACTCCAACACCCTGTTCAAACTCTAGGAGTGTACTCACTCTGATGCCTCTTGCTGCTATCAGATGGGCGAGGGCCAGATATTAAATCACCGATTCCCTGCTGCAGATGTTGGACCTTTCAATTCTGCTTCAGTCTTTTTGATTAGGCCAAGAGAAAGTTAGTTTGGTACAAGTTTGTCTTAAGTGTCTCTCTAATAAGTACCTATTAATCTATTCAGTAAAAAGAGAAGTGTATCTAACTAGAATTTTTTCACAGTTTGCTTTTTAATGCATTTATCGTTATAGCTACAAACAGAATTCAACAGCACATTAAAAGGATTATACATTATGAGTAAGTGGGATTTATTCCTGGAGTGCAAGAATGGCTTAAAGCCAACCAATGAAATATACCAAATTAACCAGGAAAAACCACACATCATTTCAATTGATGCAGTAAAAGCATTTAACAAAATTCAACACATTTTCATGATAAAAACATACAGAAAAACTAGGAATAGAAAGAAACTTCCTGAACACAATAAAGACACATATATTAAGAATCCAGAGCCTGGATGGTTCAGTGGCTTAAATGCCTGACTCTTGGTTTCTGCTCAGGTCATGATCTCAGGTTCCTGGGATCGAGCCCCATGTCAGGCTCCCCATAAGGGAGACTGCTTATCTCCCCCTCTCTCTCTGCCCCTGCCATGCTCACACACTCTCTCTCATAAATTAAAAAAATAATTAAAAAAATAAATAAATCTTAAAAAAAAAATCCAGAGGTAATATTCTCAATAGTGAAAGCCTGAAAGGTTTTCTTCTAAAGTCAGAAACAAAGCAACATATTACTCTGTAACCAGAGTAATTAGGCAAGAAATTAGGGATTGCATTAAATGTGTAGATTGCTCTGGATAGCATAGACATTTAACAGCATCTGTTTTTCTGACCTATGGAAGAAGATATCTTCCATTTCTTCTATGGGAATTTTTTTCATTTCTTTGGGTCTTTTGCAACTTCTTTCGTAAGTGTTCTATAGTTTTGAGA